GCCATGGCCGCGCCGGAGCCAGCAAACTGGGCTCAGCTCTTTGGAGTCGGGGACGGGAATCGGCTTCGGTTTGTGGAGCCTGAGCTGGTCGATGGGGAGCTACTAATCCCTCGATCGGTTCGCGACGAGGGAGCAGCCAAGTGGTGCAATGCGTTGGTCGGGCAGTTTTTTTCTGCGGCTCCTCCGATTGCAACAATCCGCCGCTGGGCTCAACGTTACTGGGGAAGGGATGGACGAGTGTTTGTATCAGTGTTTGGGGTGAATATGTTTCTTTTCCAGTTTGAGTGTGCAGAGACGAGTACCTGGGTGTTTGAAAATGGGCCATGGCATTGCGAGAATGTACCGTTGTTCCTGCGAAAGTGGGTTCCAGGTAGTCAGTCGCTTCAATTGGGGTGCTCTCGGTTGCCAATTTGGGTGCGGATTAGAGAGTTGCCACTGGAATACATGACGGAAGAAGGGTTGAGTAGGGTGGCGAGTATGATTGGTGCGCCGCTTTGGATGGATCAGTCGACGAAGCTAGGGGTTCATATGGGTACTGCTAAGCTTTGTATTGAGATGGATGCTAACTCCTCCTTTCCGGCTGAGCTTAGGATTCGTCCTGAAGGGGAAGCTGCTATTACCCTGTTTGTTCAGTATCTACATGCCCCTCATCGTTGTGAGAAGTGTGTGGAATTTGGGCATAAGTGTGGAGAGGGGGTTAGGTGTCGGGAAGTTGTAACTGTAAGTAAGGCTACTGATCTGGGGTCTGGAGGGGAAGCAAGTCCTGCCGTTCCTGCGCGTTTGTTGATTGGTGCACCTGGCTCTCAGGATGCAATTGAGGGTCTTGGGCCTATGATTGCAATGGAAGGATCAGGTGAACGGGGGAATGGAGGGAAGTGTGGTATTGAAGATGATTCACTGGGTGGGGCGCTAGTAAGGGGAGAGGCGTCTAATGCCTCTGTAAGTACTACTCCTATTGTTGTGGGCAGGGTACTGGAGAGTCAGAATTCAGGGAAAGCTTCAGTTGTGGTGGATGAGGAGGGGTTTCAATTGGTGGGCAAAAATGGGAAGGCTGTGCAAGTTAACCGTCCTGTGCAGAGTGGGGGGTTGCGTATACCTGATACTGCAGTTCGTGCTAGGGTGCCTTTGAACGAGAAGAGTATTGGTCTGATTGTTCCTCTATCTCCTAAGAAGAAGGGAGGTAGGAAGAAGAAGACATGAAGTTGCTTGTGTGGAATCTTAGAGGGTTTAACTCCTCTGAGAAGCATAGATATGTGAATAAGAAAGTAGCACAGTTAGGAGTAGATTTTTTTGCCATACTAGAAACACGAGTTTTGAAGAGTAATGCTGGTGAGATAGTTAGTCGCCAGTTTGGTGGCTGGAAGCACCTTAGTAATTATAAATTTTCTTACAATGGTAGGATTTGGTTGTTTTGGAAGCCTGCTTTGTCAGTGGTTGAAGTTGATATGGGTCAGCATTTTATCCAAGTGAAAGTGCAGTCTGGGGAGGAGTCTTGTGTGATTACTGTGGTCTATGGACCTAATAAAACAGTTGAAAGAGTTGACTTATATGAGATACTTCGTCGATGTGTAGTAACAAGGGAGCCTGGAATCTTCATTGGGGACTTCAATGCAATCATTGGGGCCTCTGAAGCTTCTAATAACCCTAGTCAGAGTCAGAGCATGGATGATTTTGGTAGGTGGATAACAGATATGCGACTGATTGATCATAGCACTATTGGGACTTGGTACACTTGGTGGAACAAGCAATCTGTTAATCCCATTGCTAGAAGAATAGATCGAGCCTTGGTTAATGAAGAGTGGCTGGATGTTTTTAAAGATAGTATGGTTAAGACATTGGCTCCTGGTGTTTCGGACCATTGTGGTTTATTGGTTCACACAGATCCCACAACCTCTTCTTTGCCAAAGCCATTCAAGTTCTTCACCTTTTGGAGGCAGCACCCTCAGTATCAGGATTTGCTGGAGGAAGCGTGGCAAGTGGAGGTTAGAGGTGTTCCATATTTCCAGTTGTACCAGAAATTGAAGGCGCTGAAGTTGAAGGGGCTTAACCGTTCTCAGTACTATGAGATTTCTGCCCGTGTTAGAGAAGCTGAAACTAAGTTGGAGACTATGCAGCAGGCTGTGTTGGATGATCCATCTACTGGCTTTGCTAATGCAGTAGTGGATCAGGAAGAGGTTTGTAGAGGGTTGCAGAAGGCTGAGGAGCAATTTTATAGGCAGAAATCGAGAGTTAGAAGGATTACTGAGGGAGATTCAAATACTAAGTATTTCCACAGTATGGTTAAAGTCAGGAATCATAGACAGACAATTCAAAAACTGGTTACAGAGGAAGGGGAGGTGATTACAGAGGTGAAGGCGATGGGGCAGTTAGTTGTTGAGTTCTACAAGGGGTTGCTTGGTAAAGCTGATTCCTCAGTACAAGACATGCCATTATTCTACTTTGAGGGTCTTCTTGGCCACAAGCTTGGGGAGGCTGATGCCCAGGCTCTGTTAGCTCCTGTGACCAGAGAAGAAATTAAGGTAGTCTTTATGGGGATGGGGAATGATAAGGCACCAGGTCCAAACGGTTACACTGCTGAGTTTTTCAAAATGGATTGGCGGGTTGTAGGTGAAGCAGTGGAAAATACTGTCTTAAATTTCTTTCAGACTGGTATTATGCCTAGGCAGGTAAATTCTACCATTATTGCTTTGATTCCTAAGCTTGAAGTGGTGGATAAAATGCAGAATTTTAGGCCAATTTCCTGCTGTAATGTGGTCTATAAAGGAATATCAAAACTGTTAGCTAATAGGCTCTCCTCAGTGTTACCTAAGCTTATTGGGGTTAGTCAATCTGCCTTTGTTAAGGGTAGGTTAATCAGTGATAATATTTTAATGGCCACAGAGCTTGTTAAGGATTATCATAGGGCCTCAATTTCATCAAGATGTGTGTTGAAGATTGACTTGATGAAAGCGTTCGATTCTGTAGATTGGAACTTTTTAATGAAAGTTATGGAGGCTATGAACATACCTATGAGTTTCATCAGGTTAATTAGGGCTTGTGTCACTACTCCCATGCTGAGTGTGGCTTTTAATGGGGGGTTATGTGGGTATTTCCCAGCAGGCAAGGGGTTAAGGCAAGGGGATCCACTGTCCCCTTACCTTTTCACCATTGCCATGGAGATCTTCTCATGTATGCTTGCTAGGGATGTATCCCAAAACCTTATACCATATCATCCAAGATGCATGAGTCTTGAGTTAACTCACCTCTGCTTTGCGGATGATTTGCTGGTTTTCTCCCATGGTTCAGTCAGGGCAGTTGCAGGGGTGAAGAGGTTGCTTGATAAGTTTTATCATGTTTCTGGGTTGAGGTGCAACTTGGCCAAGTGCCAACTGTTCTGTGCAGGTATCTCTAAGGAAGAGCAGCAGTGGATATCAGATCTTACTGGTTTCCCTCTAGGAGAGTTACCTGTGAGATATCTTGGTGTGCCCCTCCTCTCAGGTAGGCTGTCAGCTCAGGATTGTAGTATTCTGGCGAGCAAGATTACTAAGAGGATTACAACCTGGCAAGCTAAAACTCTTAGCTATGCAGGGAGAATCCAATTAATTTCTTCTGTTATTACCAGTGTATTTCAGTATTGGATGGCAGTATTCCTCTTGCCAATGAGAGTTTTGAAATCCATTGAGGAGGTGTGTAATAAATTCTTGTGGGGAGTTGGATTGAATGGGAGAAGGAGAGCACCAGTGTCCTGGTCCAAGGTTGCTATGCCTAAAGCAGAAGGGGGATTAGGGATCAGGGACTTCAAAACATGGAACAAAGCCTGTGTTTTGAGGCATTTGTGGAATTTACTTGCTGAGGCTGGCTCATTATGGGTTGCCTGGATCCAGAAGTATAGGATTAAAGGGAATGACTTATGGGGGATTTCTGCAAGCTCAGTAAGCTCATGGGTATGGAAGAAGGTGCTTAAATGCAGGGGATTGGCTCATGCTCATGTAAATGGGACAGGTAGTAGTCTGACTTGGGATGGAAAGAAGTTGTTGAAGTATTCAGTTAAGACTGTTTAGGATTACATACGTATTCCTTCTTCTCCAGTTGACTGGTCCTCTATGTTGTGGGGTAAGCCGTTTGTAATGAAGCACAGTCTGTTGGTCTGGTTGGTGGTTCTGGATCGAATTACCACGAAGGATAACCTTGTTAGCTGGGGCTTGACAGATGTGAATAGTTGTGCATTATGCCCTGGTGGACTAGAAAGCAGGGATCATCTTTTCTCCTTGTGTTCGTTTAGTGCAGCTGTTTTTCAGATTGTGTTGCAGAAGATTTGCAGGTGGCCGGTATTTACAGATTGGAGCTCTCAATTGAGTTGGGTGGTTCAGCGTTGGTCGGGTACAAACTCGACTGCTAAGATTGGGCGGCTATTATGGGTGATGTGCTGTGCTTACATTTGGAGGGAGAGATGCACTTGAGTCTATGGAGTCAAGAGAATTTCAGACCCTACTCAACTTTCAATCGCTGTTTTGCAGGAGTTCGAGATATACACTAGTAGTACTATAGAATTACAGAAAATGGCTGAAGCTGTACTGGGCTGATGGTTTTTGTTTTTTTGATTTGGGTAGTTACAAGTATAGGATTATTGATGTGTAAAGAATGTTGATCTTTTGAGAGGGTGATGCGAGTTGCATCTCCCCGGGCTTTAAATGCAATTTTGATTAACCATAAAAAAAAAATATGACTTCTCAATAGCTCACACATCCTTATAGTGCTTTATACTACAAGAACTCTTTCGTTTCACACCAAAATGCGTCTTATCAGCTTTTCCTTATATTTGTTTTAAAACAAAAGTTGTAAAATAGTTTGATATTTTTTTTTTTAACAGAAAGTCACAGTGAACGGCGCGCTTATTGCTCGCTAATTCCTTGGGCCGGTCCAGGTTTATCTTCCAATAAATGGGCTCCAGGAGACCAAAGCCCAACCATTCCCTACCATATAGGCTCCTCGATCCCACCTCTGACTATTAGCCAGTTCATATTGATACTCGCAGAATTGTTTCTCTTTCTCCTTTTTCACGGTACCCGTCTTTCATCTGCCGCCGCGCCGGTCGTCGATCCCCATGGCTTCCGCCGCCGCAAATCGCCCGCGGAATAAGAAGAAACCTGAATGGCCGAAGCTCCGGTACGGTATTGGCCGCTGCAAACGCTGCCGGGAACTTGATAAACTGAAACTGAAACCCAAGCCGGACGACAACGATTACATATGGCAGGACGACGATTTCAGGGGCGACGAAGAACTAATGCTAAGGGTCATTCATTACCGGAGGACATGCGAGGTCACCGGTGTAAGCTACTCAAAACCGATCATTATTTTAAATCCAATTTTTCATATTAGGGTTTCGTATTATTCTTTTAATTACTTTTTTTTCTTCTTCCGAATCCTCTGTCATTAAATAAGCACAGGGTTTCGATGTCGATTGCCCTCCATCATCGGAGTATGGTTGCATCTACCGTCGAGAACATTATCATCCGACTGATCGAACGTTCGACAAGAAAGTTGAGAGGGCAGTAAAATTTGTGGTCGACACATACAATCAACAAAAGGTATATAAGCGCCATATGATTTCTTATTTTCCATGGAATGCTTATATTTCTCATTAACATATGGTTTGCACTCTATCAAATAATGTAGGGCCAAAACTTGATTTTACTCAGCATTCAGAACGTAAATGTCCGGTCTGTTAGTTGTTGGTACTCATTCTACGTAACTTTCGAAGGCTTCCAGGAGTCTCATCCTAAGTGGAATGATAATAGTTATGTTCATATTTACCAAACAGTGGTATCCTATGAACGTTGGCGGCCCGTCCCCATTTATAAAATTGATATCTTCAGGAAGAGTAACTCAATTGGCAGAGGTAAATATCCGAGCACGAATATTTTGTACATGGACTTTGTTGTTCGATTTATTAACTAAGTTATTCGCTAACATAAGGCCTCTCATTGTATATTTGTAGATGAGGATTTGCTACCACCCGATCCCTCCGACAAAGAAAGTACAAGGGTAAAGAAAGAGTTGATGTGGACCTTGAATTGAAAAACCTTATGGAGCGCTAGTTGTTGATGCTAATATTGTTTTGCCTTAGCTTGTAATGAAGTTATTTAGTACATTACAGTTTTTGTGAGACAAGTTTCATGTTTTAACATTCACTTATAAAATCTATATCAACCACAGAATCCTATTAATTATTTTGAGTACATTTATGCAAATAATCTATCTTTTTACTCAATTATGAACAATCTTATCTAGCAACTAATCAATTGGTTCATGATTTTATGTACTCAATTAACCATCATGCAGTGGTGTCAACCATAGAGGCGGAGCAAGAGTTTGAGCTCCTCCTACTGGGTAGGGATTTCCTTACCGTGTCTACACAATATATATGAAATGGAATGGGTAAATTGTTCCTTATTTCAAATTCCCTAACTTCATATAAGACAACATACTCCAGAGAAACAACACGATGAAACAAGTATCAGATGATTATTGTAGTAAGTACGATAAGCCTACCATTTCCCCCTCGCGATTGTAGACTTAGGAATTGTCTGTAATATCTTATACCGACTAAACTAGTCCTTGAGTAGCAGTAGGCAAAATACGATTTAAGATTTGCCACTAGAAGAAGCTACCTAATTTCAGGTTGCACGTGAAGGAACCACACCATGATGCCACTTGTGCTTAGACAGTAGAAAGTAAGGAACCCAGATGTGTCATGAAAAGCACTTACCTTAAGCCCCGATCTGATTTGCGATCTTGAAAAGGTTAAGGGCCGTAAATAACACTTTGCCAACCCCATGACCGGTTGGAACCTAAGCTTGCTGGGGAAACTGATACTGAGAAGCAGGTTGACGCGATGAAGGTAGATGAAGTGGCTGCTGGGATCCAAGCCATGGCGATGGACCAAGTCTTGAAGTTTTCAATGGATGATGTTGCTACAGGGGTGCAGTGGGCGAAGATGAGCCTTCTGGGCAGACTCTTCATGGATAATCCGCCCAGCTTGGCGGTTATCAGCAAGATCGTAAATGGGGAGTGGAATTGCGCGGTGGAAGTCAGAGTTTTAGAAGCTGAAATGGGTCTGCTCCAGTTCTTCTTTGCAGACGAAGCATATCGTGACTGGATTCTACACAGGTCTCCTTGGACGGTGAAGGAGAGAGTTCTCCAATTGAAGCCATGGGGCCAGATTACTAAGGAGCTAGTGGATTCCTTCACAATGGTACCATTCTGGGTACATATGTGTGATTCCTACTCACTGCAGAACGGTAGCCTTTCGAAAGCGAGTGGCAGTGGCAAAGATTGGTACAGTGCTAGAAGTTGGAGCATATGCGATTCCGGGCATGCTGTGGCATTTCATCAAGGCTAAGGTGTTGATAGATGTATTGCAGCCCTTACGTTCTCAGGTTTATGCTAGTAACTTGTTGGCAGGCGAATTCTGGGTGACATTGGTGTATGAATTTCTCCCTATGCTTTGCTACCATTGCGGAAGACTTGGCCACATAGCCCCAAATTGCTCATTCTCGGATCCAATTGGGATCAACATTATGGCCCAGAGCTCACTACAGACATCATTGGGTACCGAGTGGAGGAGGCTGATTTCATTCTGCAGCTGCTCAGGCCTTCAATCCAACCCTCTGTTTGGGTGAATCCTCAAACTGGCGGCCTGGGGCAGGAGAGTAGAAAACAGAAGCGGAATGAGGAGATGGAAGATGTTGGTGGAGAAGTGGATGGCAGGCATGTGGTGCTGGCTTTACCAGTCCATAAGCAAGCTGACCAGGAGCAGAGGTTGAAGGCGTAGCATCTGAAAACGGCAAAGAAAGCTGAGCATAGGGATCAAGGGAGTGGATCCAATGGTGGTGGCAGGCTGGCAGCATCACTGGTGCTGGCCGTGATCATGTCTACAAGGGTATAGGCAAGGGTGGGCAAGGGAACTATACTGTGTATCGCAAGGGGCAGGGGGCAGATGACAGGAACAAGGTGGGTTATTTTCGAGGAGGTTATGCTCCTCGTTCAAGGGGGCGTAGTGCTGAAGACGGTCACAGCAACAGCTTATTCCAGGGCAGTGGGATGAAGCAGAATGCAAGGGCTGGTACAGGGCAGCTGCAGAGTCGGTAGTCTAATGAGACTAGACAACAGCCTATTCCAGGGATGGGAAAGCATAAGGGTAAGGAGGCATTTCGTATGACTGCCCCTAACCCGGACTAGATTGATGAACGCAAGCGTGCTGCTCGGGAGGTGGAAGGATTACAGTTTGATCCTACTACAGTGAAGAAAAAGTGTATTGACAGTGCGGTGGAGGAAACCAGCCAGGAGTGGTCCCAAACCGATAAATAAAGATGATCGCTTGGAATGTAAGGGGTATAGGGCCATCCCTTACGTTCCAGTCGTTGCTTGGTCTTTGTAGGATGAATAAGCCAGATGTCATTTTCCTTTCAGAAACAAAATCGTGTAGGCGCGTAGTTTCTCGTAGGATGAGAGGTCTCGGTTTTCAGAATTTTTTTTTGTTGATGCGGTGAATGCTTCGGGTGGGTTGGCCTTAGCTTGGGACGTGGGGGTGAATCTTACCATTGTGGAGCAGTCGAGTTTTTTCATTTCGTATGGTATTAATAATAATGGCCCTTTAGAGTATGTTTGTGTGTGTGTCTATTTTTCCAGTGATGTTTTGATTAGACAACAGCAAGTTATTGATCTGCGTCTGTTTTGCTCCAATCTTGTAGTTCCCTATGTAGTTTTGGGGGATATGAATTGTGTGTTGGAAGTAGGGAAAAAATCCGGTGGTTTGCCATGGGATCCCAGCAGGGCGGCAGGGGTGAGGGATTTTGCCAATGACCTTGCTTTGCAGGATGTTGGCTTTATGGGTCCGCAATTTACATGGCCTAATAGACGCATGGGGGCGGCTTGTATCATGGAACGCCTTGACAGGGTTCTAGCATCTCCGCTATGGATGGAGAAATTCCCACAGACGGTGGTTAAACATTGTACGGACCTTGGGTATGATCACAGAGCGCTACTAGTGGATGATAAACCTTTTGTTAGGAGCTCTAAGCCTCTATTTCGATTTGATGCGAGATGGGCGGATAATCCGGAGACAAGGCTTCTGGTTCGCTATGCTTGGAGCCAATCGTACTCTGGGTCCCCGATGTTTCGACTGTGGCAACGCCTAAAGTCTCTTCGACATCTATTGTACGATTGGAGTCGCGCTGGCACGACGAATTCGGCCCGAAATATTCGGATTCTCCAGACGGAGATTGAGGCAGTGAAAGGGGGAAAAATGTGGACTGGGATCGAGTTATGGAACTTAAGCGTGAATTAGCGCGTCAGTGGGTGAATGAAGAGATTTTCTGGCGGCAAAAATCGAGGGTCCATTGGTTAGGTGAAGGGGATCAAAACTCTGGGTACTTTCAAACGGTCATGAGAACCCGTCGACGGAGAAATTTCATAGAGGGGTTATTCAATAATGATGGCATGTGGGTGACTGATGAAGGTCAGAAGGGCGTTGTAGCTAGTGACTTCTATGAGCAGTTGTTTCGGTCGGAGAACCAGATTCAAGATATGGCAGGTAGAGTGAATGACCTGCCGATTCCCGCTTCTGTCACTTATGAGATGAACAAAAGTCTGACAGCTGAAGTTACGGCGGTGGAGATTAAGAGAGCAGTGTTCAATATTGGAGCAACGCAGGCACCGGGATCTGATGGCTTCATGGGAAAATTCTACCGTAGCTACTGGGACATTGTGGGTCCGGATGTGGTGGAGGCGGTTCAGTCATTCTTTCGGTTTGGTAGACTTTTGAAAAGTTTTAACCATACATGGTTGACTTTGGTACCTAAGGTGGAATCGGTTGAAACGATGAAGCAGATTCGACCGATCAGTCTTTGTCAAATGTTTTATAAGATTATTTCGAAAATCATGGCTGAGCGAATGGCCATCATTTTGCCCTCTATTATCTCACCAGAGCAGAATGAGTTTATTCGTGAACGCCAGATTGTGGACAATGTTCTGATTGGTCATGAGATTATGCACTATCTTAAAATTAAAAAGCAGGGGAAAAAGGGTACTTAGCTCTGAAGGTTGATATGGAAAAGGCCTATGATAGAGTTGAGTGGCCTTTTTTGTTTGCTATAATGATTAAGATGGGGTTTAGTGCTCAATGGATTGGATGGGTACAGGAATGTGTCTCTACAACGTCATTCTCTGTAATGATGAATGGTACACCGGCTGGGTACTTTAAATCGACGAGGGGACTGCATCAAGGAGATCCATTATCTCCATTGTTATTCGCAATATGTTCTGAAGGATTTGCGGCACTAATTAGAAAGGCTATACAGACAAGAAGTTTAGTCGGGGTCAAGGTAAATCCTCTGAGCCCCAGTGTGTCTCATCGTTTCTTTGCGGATGACTCATACTTGTTTTTCCGGGCATCCAAGCGGGAATGTGAAACGTTGCTTGGGTTGTTGAAGGAGTACCAGGAATTGAGTGGTCAGAAAGTGAATTTGAGTAAATCTGCGGTGTGCTTTAGTGAAAATGTGGATCCTCCTGATGCAGCGGAGATGGCGGCGATCTTAGGAGTGGGAGCGATTGGTGTGCAGGACAAGTACTTGGGTCTTCCGTCCCTGGTTCAGAGGTCGAAGGTGGAAACGTTTCGATATCTGGAGGAAAGGTTATTTGCTAAGCTCCAAGGGTGGAAACAGAATAAACTGTCTTGGACAGCGAAAGAAGTTCTACTTAAGGCGGTTGCATCTGCTCTTCCGATCTATGTCATGTCGTGTTTACCTTTACCGATGACTCTGTGTCGTAAGCTGGATAAGTACATGGCTCGATTTTGGTGGGGATTTTTGGGGGAGAAGGAAAAGGCTCACTAGGTGTCATGGCGTAACTTGTGCCGGAGTAAATTTGATGGAGGTTTGGGGTTCAGGAGGTTTGAGAATTTTAATCAGGCGTTGTTGGCCAAGGTAGCATGGAGGATTTGGAAGGAGGTGGAATCGTTGCTGGTGAGGGTGTTGAAAGGAAAATACTTTCCGCGGACATCTATTCTTTCAGCGACTCGTCGATCGAGACATTCTTGGGGGTGGATTAGTATTCTACATGGAAGGGATTTGCTTCCTAAGGGTCTTGGATGGCAGATTGGGGAGGGATCCCAGGTTAGAATTTTGGAGGACAACTGGGTCTCGGGTTTTCGGCCGGAGGAGATTGAGTTGAAAGCTTCGGCTCCAGACCTG